TGCTGAAGTAAAGCGCCAAAGAGAGAAAGCACATGGTGAATCTAGAAAATCAAACAACATAGGAGCATTGTATCAAAACGACAAATCATTCCGAAGGAAAAGAGAGAGGCAAGTGTTGGTAAAGCTATGGGGGAACAATGGGGGATTTAGACGGCCGAGCCGGAAGGTCCACCCGCTTTGGACATGGCTAAGCTGGCCCCTGGATTCTGGTCGCTCTGACCACCTTCCACTTCTTCTTCTTCCTCTTCTTCCGACGCACTCGAGCTCCCCCCGTCCAGATAGGGACTGGGGTCGAACTCGGCCAAGGAGCGGCACGGAGGAGGGAAGCCAAGGTCGGGGAGAGAGAATCCTTTGGGGAGCTGGGCCAGCTTGTCGTGGAAGACCTGTTGGGCGTGGAAGAGTCCGCAATTGAAGGACTTGGTTCCCTCCTTGACCATCCAAGGCAATGCCCTGAGATGACCCAACGAGGTCGCCACCCTGCATCGCGGGGTGTGGAGGGGATTGGCCAGCCATGGTACCCGGTTCCTGGGTAGCATCTTCTTGGTCCTCCACCACAATTACGGCCGGCTCTCGAGAAGGACTCTCCTCGTGGTGGGATGAAGAACGTTTGCCCTGGCCCTTCGTCTCTCTCTTCCTTTTCCTCCCTGCAGTGAAGCGACTGAGCAGGAGATCGCTGTCCATCTCCTCTCCTGAATCTTGTAATTCCACTGGAAACAAAGGAAATGGTCAGCCTTGGGAAAAGATAAACTAAACATCTGGGCAAAAGAAAAGGTCACCTACCAAAAGGACCACAGTCAAGACCTTCCTCAGGAATGTCCTTCAGCTGGTCAGGCTGATGCCCCCCGGGGATGTCCCTCAGTAGGTCGGGTTGGTGGCGAAGCTCATCCTGAACACACTCAAACCCCAACCCGGCAAGGGTTTCCTCTGTCACCACCTCTTTGATGTTCATAACTCCCTTATTGCAGAATTGGCGAGTGATAGACAAAAGGGTGGCATCAGGTGGGGGGCGTGGGATGCGGCGGAAGGAAGGGCGCCCTGAACCCGTGAAAGGAGATTCGGGCCCCGTCGAAACGAAGACAAAGAAAGGCTTCCAGTCTTTGGTTGACCCCTTCTTATCACTAGCAAAGAGTTTACTGGACCTCTGGGAAAGACTGGCATAGGACGCCCAATCTTTATGGCCCTTGGTCAGTTTGAAGGTGAATATGAAATGGTCCAAGGTCGGCTTCACCCCTACACCTTTGCACCGGATCAGGTAACCGGCGATGTACCGGTGAGAGTTGGGGACCAGTTGGCATGGGAGAAGGTCCACCACGTTGAGGAATTCGATCAACAACGGGTGGAGTGGGAAGCACAGCCCCTTCTTCAAAGACGCCAGATGGACCGTGAAGAACCCCGACGGTGCGTCTAGAGCAGTTTGAGTACTGGTAGGTCTCATGACCTCGATGGAGGGTCCAACCATGTCAGTGGCATCGGCGAACCCCCGGTCAGCAATTTGACAATGGCACAATGCCATGATGTTTTCGTCCAATTCAACCCTTGAGCCCTCATCTACCGGAGTTGAGGAAGGGTATTGCTTCCTCAATCGACGCCGTTTGTGGCCAGGCACGGCCGACGGCGACGGCCGGGGTGATGGAGTGTGGCCGGGGTTACGGTCAGAGGCCGATTGACCGGCTTGTCGAGAATTGGACGATGGGGTAGCCGAATCGGAATCTGAGACAATCATGGCGGCGAGAGAAGGAACTGACCTGGACAGGAAGAAGAACGAGTCGGGTGAGCAGTGGAGTTGCAGACGAACGGTAGTGAAGAAGGTGAAAGAAAGAGATGGTGTTCAGCGGCGGTTTTTAACTGACAACAAGAAGGCGAATCGGCAGGCCATGATTACTTATTTGTGGAGATCGTGCCCAAGTGTCGAGCGGAACCCAAGGAACGGCCCGGATCCCCGCTGGAGCGTCCAAGCGGACTTTGCAAACCCCCCACTCCTCCGCTTGGCCCAGCTGAGGACTGAGGAGTTGGGGGGCTTATGATGGGCCGATATCGAGAGGGCGGCCCAAATGAACCATTTGAACAGCTTCGGGTCAAGCACCTGTGAAATACTCAAGCTGGGCCGGCCCAAGGAGCTGGGCCTAGTTAACCTCAGGCCAAGCGCAGCTGGCAGAGTCAATCCGGAGAAGGAGATGGAGCTGATGGGCCGTTACGGAGCCGGGAAAAGGGGATCGCACCCTTGGCGGGATAGACTCCATCGGTTATGCATGACCTTAATTGTTTAGAGCTCATGTATAAATAGAGGGGACCCGAAAGGGGAGAACTCAAGCTAAATCAAGCTGGTAATACACGTCCAATTCTCGAATTCTTGTTCTTAGTTTTGTTCTTACGATCCGCTCTGTAAACCGGATCATTTGGTGGATTTATTGTCCATCACTCCTTATGCCATAATCAATTTTTTATATGTTGCACCTCTTCTAAATCCTTATTTTTTGCCCCTATAAGTTCGTGGAGGTGCAGTGGAAATCACCAATTGAAAGCTACGCAAACAGATCAAACGACTATGCTGTAGAGAAGATACTGCAGCATTGTCATAGTAACAGATGACAGACAAAGTGCTATAATATCTTCTCTGTCTCAAGCACACACGCAGAATATGAAGTGAGAGCAGTAAGCGGTACACGAGAATTGTTTACGCAGTTTAGAGCAACTCTCCTACGTTTGTGGGGCCCACGTCCGTGTAACTGCCCTTCCACTAAATCACCGTAAGAATTACACAACAAATCACAAGAGAAAATTCAAATGTATTGATTTGTCTACTACCGAATGACTTGACGACAAACTCTGTTTCCGTCTTTCTCCACGGTTTGTTACACCTTCTCAAAGATCTTCTTCAAGGACGTAGATTCTAGTACACCTTCAAACAATTATTCTGCCTTTCTCTACAAAAATATGCAGGCAAATTCGAAGCTCATAAATCAATATTGAACCGTTGGAATTCAATCTCCACCGTTCAGATTGAAGCTCCACGAGTCCTTAGACTCCTCCTAAAGACAGTTGATGATCCTCTATATGTGGTCAAGGATATGATTCAACTTGAGCCTTTGAATTATTTTCTATTCTTAAAGTGCGTAAGTTAAGTAATATATTGTCTACGTGTCTATTATATGTGTAATGTTCGACTTGTGTTTGTTCTCTTTTTCATTTTGTTTCGGGTTCTTGGCAGTGTTTCTTGGGTTACCTTAGTTGGAGAAGCTCATTATCTTTAGATCCTGTTTTCCCCCATTTTATCAAAAAAAAACAAAAAAAAAAAGAATATTTAGAAAAACCAAAAAATATTCATTTTCATCAAACCCCCCTCCTTTCGTGGTTTAAGTTATAGTATACGCTTTATTTACTAAGTTATAGAATAAGTGTTTATTTGTAAGTTAGATAAACGTTTTTATATTTTTAAATACTTAAGTGTGTGTTTTATGTTTTTAAGTTATATTTTAAGTTCTTCATTTATATAAGTTCTATTTATAAGTTTTTATACTTATTTAATTATAAGTTTTATAAGTGTTATCATATGTGTAGTAGTTAGTTTTGTTTTATTTGGTGACAATGTGTGTGCATGCTTAACTAATTTCAAAAAGTACAAACTTTCTTCGTGGGATCGACCTTTACTTGCCCTAGCTATAGTTTTTATTTGATTATATCTTGGAGGTTAGCTAAGGAGTTTTATAAATTTTTAATTTGTTTTAGACTGTACGATAAGTCTTTAACATTATAACCTTAAGCATGTTGATATCACGACCAAATCTGCCCAGAAACAACATTGATGTCTATCTTCAGATGGTAACTAAAGATCTTCAAAGCTTGTGGTTTGGTGTACAAGTCTATGATGCGTACGGAAAAGATTTGTTCACATTGAGGGCAGTTTTGTTGTGGACCATTAGTGATTATCACGCAGTGGGTAATTTGTCAGGCAATGTTGTAAAAGGCTATAATTCATGTATTGTTTGAGGTGAAAAAACAAATGCTATCAGGTTGCGTAATTACCGTAAGATGGTAGTTATGAAGCATCGCAGGTGGATGCCACGCCAACATCCTTACCGAATGCAAAAATCAGACTTTGATAACACCGTGGAAAAGAATACAGCTCCTATCCCATTGGCTGGGGAAGAGGTATATTTACGTGTGCAATCTTTAAGTGACCATGTCTACGGGAAGACACAACCAATTCCTCGTCTAAAAAAAGGAGACATCCGACCTACTTGGAAGAAGATGTCTATTTTTTCAATGGAATATAGGAAAATTTTGCCAATAAGGCATGTTCTCAACGTAATGCATATTGAGAAAAATATATGTGAGGCTTGAACTGGTACGTTGCTTAATATACCGGGGAAGACAAAAGATAGGGAATCTGTAAGCATCGATATGGCTAAAATCCTATCCTATCCTATCCTATCATATCCTTCCTATTCTTATTCCTATTCCTATTCCTATTCCCATTTCTATTCCTATTCCTATTCCTATTCCTATATATGTAAAGGAGAGTTCATTAGTTGTAGTGGAGACATGTGGCGTATGACATGACAAAATTTATATCTACATGGCATAGTGTCATCATTTTATTGGTCCACATGGCATTTATTAATTTATTTTTTATTTAAAAGATTGTTCATGATTATTTATTTAAATTACCATAAACTTCTATTTATAATACTTTTCATATTCTAATTATTATATTAATATGTCCTTCATCATTTTAAAATATATTTTAATATCTTATAATTAATTAATTACCTTTTCAAAGGTTATATAAACTTTATTAAATTTTTTAAAAGACAAGTGCTTGTATAAATTTTTACACCATTTTCCCATGATAAGTGTAATAAACATGAAAGTTTATATTATAAAGAGTATGATTTCAATGTATAAAAGTTGTCTAAAATTCGTATTAAAACTTCAAACTTTTCCTTTAAAATTTTAAACAATTTTTCTATCAAAATTATAAATTTAATTAGTGAAGTGTAAAATAATAAGAGCCATAGAGAAAGTTAATAAACACATCCTCCCCACGCATACCATGATATCTCCAAAAATGACATGTCTATGTAAGTTATTTACAAATAATTAATGTATTATGCTTCATATGTACATGCGTGTATACTATTTATGTATTCTATCAATAGGCAATGCGATAGAACAACTTTAATTGTAATTCACTTTATTATTTAATCTAGGTTTATATTTTAATATAATAACAATTTTATAGATATATTTTACAGAAAAATATGCGAGCCCGTGCAAAGCACGGGGCAAAAACTATGGGGTATGAAAACGGAGTTGATGCCCAAAAATCTCGGAAAAATTGAGAAGTTACCAATGGCGTCTTGTAACTTATTTCTAAAAAAAGATTCTTTGCTCATCTTTATTTTGCATGAAATTACCTGAAGGTTTTTCTTCTAACGTCAAAAGTCTCATATCAATGGAAAATCTTCGAGTTGTCGGGATGAAGTCTCATGATTGTCATAAAATATTGCATCACTTGCTCCCCATTGCAATACGACCAGTGCTACAAAAAGATGTGCGGTCCACTATTATTAGGTTTTGTGTCTTCTTCAACGCAATTTGCAGCAAAGTCATTGAGGTCGATAATTCGAAAAAATGCAATCCCAATTGGTAGAGACTTAATGTTTGCTTGAAAAACATTTCCCTCCTTTTAAGATATCTGATAATTTTGGGTTAGGGAAAAATAAAATGAAATAATATAATGTAAAAAAATGATTAAAAAACTACTATTTTTGAAAGAAAATTAAAAGATTGTAAAAATGAGAATTAAAATAAAACTAAGCTAAACAACTAAAAATTAAACACTAAAAATATTAAAAATGCCTAAAATTGAATAAAAAGAACTAACCCAAAAACGACTTATCAAATACCCCCACACTTAAGAGTTGAACGTCCTCGTTCAAGGCCAAAAAGAGTACATTATTTCTTTTTATCATCGTCAAGAAGAAACAAAGTTAACTTTAAACCCCCACACTTAAGATTTTATGCCCATACAAATTTTAAAAACAAAGTGAGCTAGAAATCCTACAAAGATGGAAAACTAAGGTGTGGATTTTTTTTGGGTTCTAACAAATGCTCTAAAGCTGCTACAAAAAAGTTTCCTAGCGGAATCCTATGGTTTAAAACGGCTCAATAGCAGCGCTGGCAAGGTTCATCAATAAAAGCCTAAAAATATAAAAATCACTCAATTTTCTAAAAATAAAGGGCCCCTAAAACTGTTTGCTTAATACATTGAAATATCAAATAAGGTTGACTAAAACAACATCTAGATAGTATGTGGATGGCAAGTTCTAGAAAAAAACTAAAGGATACTTAGAAGGATTCAAAATTTTAAGGTCATTTTATCAAGAGAAAACGGGCATAAGTCTCAATGCAGGTTTAAAAAGTATACACTTGCTATCTTTCAGAATAAAGCCCCAAGAAAAACAATGAGGTTCTTGGGTCAAATTTTGAAAACAATGCTCTAAATAAGAAGATATGCAACTAAGAATGAAAATATTTGAACCCAAAACCTTTTTTTTTATTGAAAAAAAATTTGCCCCAAAAGTTTTTTTCCAAGCAATGAAACAAGCATGAGCAACTCCCCCCACACTTAAAATGTGCATAGTCCCAATGCATCTATATGATATGCAAATAAGCAAGAATGATATATCCAAAAGAATAAGCCAAGAGAGAAGGGAATGAGTAGATTCGCAACAAAAGGAAAGGGGAAAGGATGGGAAGGAGAATGCAAATTTAAAAAAGTATACGCGGCATCAATTCATCATTCTCATCCTATTGTGCTCGATAGACCTGAAAATCTGCAAAGTGAAGGCTAAGACCAAGTTTTTTAGCAATGAAGAACAAAAAATCTGATTTCAAATATGTAGACTTTTTTCTAATTTAGCACATGTAAGCCGTGAAAAGTGTATAATTTTCATTCTGCACTAAAAAAATAGCTTACAAAATGCATATTTTCAGTTTATAGCCCAAAAATCAGATTCAGGAGTGCAGATATTTTTCAATTAATACCCAAAAATTAGCCTTAAAAGTGCAGAATTTTTGGATTTCAGCCATAAATGATCAAATGTAAACACTCAAGGCTTCAAAAAACATAAGATAGACAATATACAAACACTCGAGCACTCGGAGTTTTTGTTCCAAATCACACCTTTTGTTTTTGCACCTTACTGTGCAGATGTTTACTCCAAACATTTTGCTTCCACCTAAATCTCAACAAATCTTGCAAAAAACTCTCAAAGTAGATGGTTAGAAGCACATGTAAAATAAAAAATTAAGCTCAACAAGATCACTTTTTTTTGTTTTGATTTTATACATAAAAAAACTAAATGAAAGAGAGAAAAAAATTCCTATAATTATAATAAGTACAACTAGATCGATTTGGAAAAAATATTACAAGAAAAGTTAGTTATTAAAAGAAACAGAATAAAAACCAAATTAACCATTACAAGGGGGGAAAAATTAAGTACAACAACAAGTTAAAGTTATTAGTAAGCATAAGGAACTTAAAGAAAAATTAAAAACGCTATAAAAGTAAGTGGGTTATGTTTTAAAAAAAATTAAGAAGGAAAAAAAATGCAATCAACAACTATAAGAGAAGAAGAAAAAAAAGTACAACAATTACTAGAAGTTAGAAGTAAAAAGATTTTAAAAAAAAAACCTAAAAAGATAGTGGGTTGCCTCCCATAAGCTGCCTGATTTAACGTCTTTGGCTAGACAAAGCTTACTACTTGCCAAAAACATATTCAAATAAACCATCAAGTAGTAAAATAAATGTGTTTCTTTAAAACACAAAAAAAGAGTAAAAACAAGATAGCTTCAAAATTCAAATTTGATTTCACTTTTTACTCAAGAAGTAGCACATTGTAGTCAATTGAGAAGAAAAAAAAATCAGGTTCAAAGGTGCAAGGTAAAGCTTGAGATCAGATTCTTAAATCAAATTTTGAACCTTTTTTTTCACTTAGAGAGCAAGGAGTATATATAAGGATCAAGAAAAACTCATGCTAAATGCTCCCACATAAGTTCCCAAACATGTTTTTGACGATTAAAGTTCATAATTCAACAAATGAGCATCTAAAGAACTTAAAAAAAATCAGATTATCAAACAAAAAGTTGCTGATTTTTTCAAAAGATATGCACTTGAGATTAAGTTTTTCTCAAAATCAGCATAAAAACCTCATAATATGCTTCAAAATATTGTCCCCAACCAAGATAGAGCAATGATATTTCAAATTTCAAGCATGTGGAGCACTCTAAGGGACAAACTCAGCATATAAGCTAAGTAAAAAAGTGCAGATTTATAAAAAAAAAAGCAAGTAAAATCATTTTTTCTTTGAGAAAACAACACTAATTCATTCAAACTCAACATTCATAACCTGCACCAACAAAAATCAGCAACTAAAAGACCAAATAAAGTTCAAAATGCAGATTATTTCAACAAGAGTTCAAATTGCAGGTATATTAGCATTTCCAGGAACACAATACAACATCTAGACGAGCAAAAGAGTGCAATTTGTAGAACAAACCGTATTGGCATACCACAATTTCTGAAAAATAGCACCATGTTCATTCTATTAAGTCAGAATGCAATGCTTCTTCATTCATCATAACGTATATAAATAGCAACAACTAAGAGGGACTAAGTTTAGATCCCAAATCATAGCCTAAAGTCTAGGAGCTATACATGGTATACAATAAATACACGTGAGATAAAGAAAGCAAATCAAGGATAATCAAGAATAAATATAAATGAATATTTATATTTATTTATCTATAATACGCCCCCGCAAGATTGGGGATCCGTCAGAAACACCAATCTTGGACCGGAACTTTAGAAAAAGTGGGCGAGCAAGAGGCTTGGTAAGAATATCCGCGAGCTGGTCAGATGAACGGACATGGGCAACCCGAAGCTTACCAGCCACAACTAATTCCCGAACAAAGAAATAATCCAACGCAAGATGTTTCATCCGTGTATGGAACACTGGATTTTTGCACACATGAAGAGCACTTACATTATCACAGTAAAGCATTGGTGGTGCTGGAACCGATATATGCAATTCTTGGAGAAGATTTTGTAACCATTGTAACTCAGCAACAACATTGGCAAGAGATCGGTATTCAGCCTCTGTAGAAGACCGTGATACAGTCTTTTGTCGGATGGATTTCCAAGAGATAATGCTAGGACCAAGATACAAAGCATAGGCAGTGGTCGAACGGCCACCATCACCGACACCGCCTCAGTCAGCATCTGAAAACGCAGTAAGATGCATGGGGACCTGCTTAGACAAGAATAAGCCATGAAATAGCGTGCCTTTAAGATAGCGCAGTAGACGTTTCAGAGCGATCCAGTGAGAAGTCGTTGGAGCATGCATAGTCTGTGCAAGTTTATTGACAGCAAAGGACACGTCAGGTCGTGTGAGAGAAAGATACTGGAGTCGCCCTATCAATCGACGATAGGCCGAGACATTAACACCCGTTGTAGATGAGGCAGAAGACACACGTAGATCAGAAAGAAGCATAGGCGTGGTCGCTTCCTTTGCACCTGTCATAGATGCATCTTCAAGAATGTTGAGCATATATTGAGATTGGGAGAGGAACAGGCCTGTCTTCATAGGAATAACCTCAACACCTAGAAAATGACTCAACTGGCCCAAATCCTTAAGTGAGAATTCAGTGGCGAGAGCACGAACAAAATCATCTAGAAAACGAGATGAGCTACCTGTAAGTATAATATCATCGACATAGACCATAAAATAAGCCAGAACACCATCTCGGTGATAGACAAATAATGATGCATCAGAGTGAGCCTTAACAAATCCGGAGTGAAGCAGAAAGCGAGACAGTGCCTCATACAAAGCATGCGGTGCTTGTTTTAACCCATATAATGCCTTGGAAAGGCTGCATACATGCGAAGGAAAGTCAGGATGAACATACCCAGGGGGTTGCTCCATAAACACCTGTTCATCAAGTTTTCCATGTAAAAAAGCATTATTCACATCAAGTTGTCTAAGTGGCCAGTTATGGGAAAGAGCAATACTCAGAACCAGCCGAATACTAACAGGCTTCATCACTGGACAGAATGTCTCGAAATAATCACGACCAGCCTCTTGGAGATATCCCTTTGCCACTAGGCGTGCCTTGTAGCGATCAATGGACCCATCGGCTTTGCGTTTGATTCGAAATATCCATTTGCAACCAATAGGGTGCTGAGTGGGACGAGGCACCAATTTCCAAGTCTGATTACGCAACAAAGCATTATACTCCTCATCTATAGCCTTCCGCCAACGGGTGTCTTTGAGTGCTTGGGCAATGGTTTTGGGCTCATGGGTTAGAGGGAGAGGATGTTTGGTGGTGAGATGAAGACGGGGAGGATCTGAAACAAAGTCATTGTTGAAATATTTAGGGTTAGGATGACGAGTACGTGTAGGACGAGAAGTGGCAGTAGGGACTGAGGGAGCAGCAGGCTGTTCGGGAGAAGACCCGGCAGTACTGCGTTCTATAGCAGTAGGTCCAGTAGGGATTTGGTATGTGATAGATGGTACTGGTGACTCAGGGATGGGGTTGGTATGAAGGGGGATGGCGGAACAGTGAGAAGGAGATAAGGGTTGAGTTGGAATCGGTGTAGAGGAGTGTGGTGGGTTTGAAGGGTTTGTAGCGGAGAACAAGGGTGGAAAAATTGGGAACGGAGGAGATTGGACAGTGGATTGTGAGGGTTTGTAAGTAATAAACGGATAGACATGTGGAACAAATTGAACGTGACGAGAAATGTAGACCCGATTTGTAGATGGATCTAGACATTTGTAAGCAGATTGTGTAGTGGAGTACCCAACAAATACACAGGGAGCAGAGCGGGGTTGCAATTTGTGGGACGTGTATGGACGCAACCATGGATAACATAGGCAACCGAAAGGTTTAAGTTTAAGATAATTGGGCTCTGCTCCAAACAGAACACGATATGGACTTTGAGAGTCGAGTATTGGGGTAGGCATGCGATTTATGAGATATGTGGCTGTCTGAAAGGCATAAGTCCAATACAGTAACGGCATGTGAGCATGATGTAGCAGGGAGAGACCAGTGTCAACAATATGACGATGAC